AAGAGAGAGAGAGGCAACAGGACATATCCTTGGGACAAACCAGAGTTGGAGATGGAAGGAGCAGACGGTTTCCCATTACCTGAAACACGCTGAACACAATCAGTAAGAAAGTTTGAGATCAATAAAAGAAGTTGATCTGGGAAATTTAAATCAGCAGTTAATCTCTGTATCAGAATATGAGGCTGCATATATATGTCTGATCTTGCCCCATTTCGACTTGACACAAGGGAAATGGTACATCATTATTTGCTGCAACATACAATAAAATGTAAATGTAAAAAGTTAATTATGCCTTCTTTATGATTAGGGCTTAGAAGGTTCTTCTAATAAGACAATAAAAGACGTGAAGAAGCTAGTTTTGCTTAATTACCACTTGTTTGGGCGGCCTTTGTCAGAGTAGACTTATCATGCCGTGGTCCCTGGAGAAGTGAGTCAAGTGTGTGCCAAGGATTAACCCCTCATCTCTGTTGATGGTCTGTCGCCTCTCATCTCCATCTCTTGTATTTACTGTATGTTCTTCATTTCCTATTTCTGCTTTTTCCCAGTCCATTATATGATGTTTTCTTTTGCAGATCAGGGTCAGATGTTGCAGATTAAAGGTTTTCTTGTGTCCTGTATTCCTCCTGATTCCACTTAATCAACTGCATTGACTTGACTTGGAAGGCGGTGTTTGACAAAAATGTACACTTCATCTCAAAGGTGAGTGAACAAGTAAGAATATTGAGTTTTTGCTTAATATTGAGCAAGAATTATGTTAAAACCATAGACTGTAAATACTAACGGATGTAGTGACGCCTATTTCATCCTTGAAATGTATGTGGCAGAAACAAGGGCAGATAAAAATGTCCGCAGAAAAATGTGAAAGAACGCATTTGCGCATGCGTTGTTACATGCAATATGTAATATTTGCATGTCAAGTCATCATTAAATGACCCGAATATTTCAAAAGGCATTAATAAATCATGTTCTTTTCAAACACATCTTTAACTGATAACAGTAGTTCATCCGAGATATTTGAATATCAAAATTAGTTTTACGACCCGTAAAAGTTGTTATTGTTTTGATTTTGATGTCCTACCCTCCGCCGTTTCGCCAATCAGGAAGTGTCATGTAAGTCCGTGATCGGGTTGCCAGAACTCCGCGCGGCTCACTAATCTCAGAGGTAAAATAACATGTGGCGCAGAACTAAAAAAGGTCTTGTTATGACTCTCAAATCATTAATGACAAAACAAAGACTAAAACGAGGATTTATATCGGGACGCCTTTGAACAATTGAGACAGCTGATAAAAGTTTACGTGTGATGCAGAATTTGCTAGTTTGAGTCCATTCTTCACAGTGACTCTAACTGTGTGAATCAGTGGTCTAGCGGTCTAAACTGTGCGCTTACGATGCAGGAACCCGGGTTCGATTCCGTGCCATGTCTTTTTGTATTTATTGCATGTTATCACATTCTATGACAGATTGCTCTAAAAACGGTCAAGACGTTTTTTTGCAGATTATAGCTTAATTGTAAAAATAATCATTTAAGACCTGTACCCCAATTAAAATAATGTTAGTCTCTTTTTGATGTGGGACTTTTACATGTTTGTCTAAAAAATAGGGAATAAATAAAATTGAAAGGTGATATCCTCTTGAGCAAACCCTGATGTTGATACGCTGAAGAAATACGTTCCAACATCCATTCTTCCCACTCCTATTTTGGACATCAATTGCTTATGTATTTTGCATAAACTATGTATAATTACATTGCTTTTATTTTGTTTTTGATCTCAAATGTCCAAATAATAATAATAAAAAAACATGAATCAAAACATTCATTCAGCATTAGCACGGCTGTCATGGCAATGTGAATGGAGACGGACAAACAACTGATAAAATAATTCCCTGTGTTTGCTGCTGGATTTGGTGTGAATCTGGCAACCTGAGTCAGGGAGAGTGGGAGAGGACCACAAAATATTGACTGTGACTGCAGTACCACTTTTGGCCAGATTTTTACATATTGTTCCTTTAAATAAACTTCCAGAGTTTGGCGCACCACGATCCGTCTCTGTCTGGGTTATTCCTGACAGATTTATTAATATATATATAAATATATAGTTTTACAAACGTGGTGTAAAGAGGCGCATGGGAGATAAAACCTCTGTGGGAGCTTTAAACCACAATGATCCGAGAGGCCAGGACATATACACAGTCGCGGCAGAACATGGATAAAACCTCATGTTATTATTAGCATTAGCCACAGCGCTGCATCTGCATGACCAGGTAAGAAAACAGAACATTCAATCATGCTGCTGATAAAAGTATTCTGGCGATTGTGTGTGTTATATTTGAGGCGTGTCCCTGAATAAGTTCAGTTGAAACTTGTGACATAGTAGTTGGACCGGATCGGGTCAGAACATCCTGAGACCCGTATTGCAGACTCTGCCTCGTTCTCATTAGTGTCGGTGTGAAAAAAGTTACGTTTTGTTCACATGTGAGTCTGTTGAGCAAACAAACAAACTACAAAATGTGCCTCCTGTTGTGTTAACGCTGTCTTTCGGTACGCGTGGTTTGCGATGTTATGACGTCAGACTTTTGCATATTTATTTTTCTAAAAGATTGTTGTTCGGGTAGTTCTTTAACATAGCTGTGGTCCTTCATGGTTACTTCTTCAAACTTGTCAGGGCACAGTGGAAGCAACAATATCAGTAGCACCCAGAAAACAAAAACGCAATTCTAGCATCCTTTTTGTCCCTTAACCACTGTATTTCAGATGGCGCATTGACATGGATAGTACACAGCTCTCATAGAAATTTTTAGGTTAAATTCTAAGCCTATGAAAACAATAAAAAAAACATGGTGAAAGTAAATATTCTTAATAAGGTCACATTTCTTATTACAAGACTAACCATACACAGGTGATACACACGAGACCAAGTCAGGTACTAAAACAGGAAGTACAACTAAAGAAGTCACGGGGGTTAACACATTTCAAAATAAAACAGGAAAATAACCTACACCAGGACAGGCTCTCTGTCCTGGTGTAGGTTATTTTCTTGTAAGAGATTAATCTCAATGGCTTTTGACCAGGTCAAAAAAAGGTAAGACTAATATAAGCCAGATGCAGGGCTCGACAATAACGGTTGTCCACTTAGCCGGGGCAACAAATGATTTGGGACGGGCAAGTGCGCTGTTTTAGCAAGTTGCCCGATCGGACAAGTAATGTATTACTTTAACCCATTCAGGCCGGTAACACATTTCTTCATCTGGAGGCGGGAGCGGCTCTGTTTATCTTTTTTTGACTAATTCTCTTTATTTGTAAATTCTCTGGATCAATGAAATGAAACTTTTTTCCGCTGAAAAAGTAATTTCTGTTAAATGTGTGACTGCGGGAACTGTTGTTTGCATTAGATACTCGAACGGCATTCACATCCTCCATTCTGAGGCCAGGGCAGCTGTGGCCGCTTTGTTAGGACAGCCGCTTTGACAATCCCACAGTGAACGCACATCCGTTATTTGGTAACGAGAGCGGACCATAGACGCCACAGACAGACTCATAGACGCGCGGACAGGACCATAGACGCGCGGACAGAACTATAGACGCAAGGGCAGAACCATAGACGCGCGGACAGGACCATAGACGCGAGGGCAGGACCATAGACGCGCGGACAGGACCATAGACGCGAGGGTAGAACCATAGACGCGAGGGCAGAACCATAGACACTGTGGACAGGACCATAGACGCGAGGGCAGAACCATAGACACTGTGGACAGGACCATAGACGCGAGGGCAGGACCATAGACACTGTGGACAGGACCATAGACACTGTGGACAGGACCATAGACACTGTGGACAGGACCATAGACACTGTGGACAGGACCTTAGACGCGCAGATAGAACAATAGAAGCGTGGACCGAAAACCGACGCACGTTCAGTGGTGTTTTTATTAATTTTTCCACACATTTAGTGCCACTTTATTGCCAAACTCTTGTAAACTCATTGTATTGAGAATTATTTGGGCAAGTAACTTTTGACATTGGGCAAGTAAAATATAAATGGTACTGGCGCGAAAGGCAAGTCGCTGACAAAGCTTATTGTCAAGGCCTGAGATGTGTAAACTGCCGTAGTCAGTCCTGCTGTTGGGCTCAGCAATCTGCCCCTGACATCAGTGAGGCGTGGGCACATCCACCACACCTACAGATCAAGATGCAAAGCACCAGGCTGGGTAATCATCCACAACTCAGATTTATAAAAGACATTGATGAACAAAGTCACATTCAGGAGGTGAGTCAAACAAAAGGTAAAACAACTATAAAATGTTCAAACGCTGAGAAAAAAAACAAAGGATACAGATTAGGTTGCAGTCCTGTGAGGTTCAGTGTCATTCAAAGCCACGTTTACACACGTCACGCCCCACGCTGCAGAGACATGGTTTCCACAAGCTCTTCACACCCTTGAAAATAGCTCCTGACTTCCATGTGTTCCTCTTGCGGAGGACAAGTGTGAGCAGAGAGCGAGGCTTTAATAAGACACTACAGCACACGAGACTCAGCTCGTGAGACTGAATCACTAAAACAAGCTGTTTTTCCTGTGTGAAAATGTTCTCCTTTTTTGGTGGAATTGAGTTGTGAGAAAGAGGGTGAGATACTACTACGAAAGCCCTTCCAGCCGATCCAAACAGACCTGCAGAGACATGACAAAGTTGGCTCTGCCCATGAACAGTGGGAGTGGAAGAGATCGTGAGAAAGTCAAAGGTAGTGTAAAGCGTGAAGTCTCTCAGACGCCCGGCTGAGGGGATGGCTTCGAACTGTGTGCTTTTGTTGCTCACAGTTACAGGAACGTGCCGACAGCTTAATGTTCTGAGGCCGAATGTCCCTTTTATAAACTCTGCATAGTCTCTCTGTATCTAGATTTCACCAACACTTAATGAGAATCCTTTGTCACCTTCCTTTTTGTTAAAATATAAACTTCCAATAATCCTTGGTGAAAAGTAGGAGTAAAGGGTGTTGGGGTCGTACCTGAGCTCGGGCTGGTCGCTGCTGATGGTGACTGTGTGGGCGGTGGTGAAGGGGTTCCTCAGCACATACTCCAGGAAGTGTGCAGAGCCTAAGCTGCAGAAGAGCCAGTGCTCTGTGGTGATGGCCCGGCTCAGCATGAGTGTGATGGCCTCAGCTTTTCGGAGCTCCACACCAGGGCTAGATACGGCAGACTCCTGTAACAGCAAGAGACCCCAGTACTCTGTGAGAAACTGCCAAATTACACGTTTGTCTATGAAGTTGAATATGGGTTGTTAGGCCTTTAGCATAGGAAACTGGGGACGTTCCTTTATTAGCCCTTTAGCGTGACATGTAAACTTGTTATCTGGAATGGACTGTCAAAATTTGACACCTGTAATTTTTGAAGAAATTGATCTGTAATTTCCTGAGGAAAATGAATGCCTAATTTCAGCAGACAATGGTGGTTGATGTTTATTACCAACCCTGTAGTGAAACCTCAAAGGGACAAATGTGTGAATCAGTATTTGGAATGTGACTATTGTCACTATTGTCACATTCAGAATGGGAAATGTACAACTTGTGTTTTGTATGCTGTCAATTATCATAAAAGTGGTGGTGATGAATGTATGTCCTCAATTGGGCGGGGCCTACTTTCAGTAATAAGATGTTGGGAGAAAAACATGGCGGATGAGAAGCATGTTGTAAAAAAATCTGAAAATGCGAGGCTGTGAAATATGAACCACAAGAAGGACTTCTTCTTGTGTGTACTTTATATAATTATAATCACATTTTCCAAGCATGATACATAACTCAACAACATAGTCTCATTCCACTACTGGTCATGATAATCACTCTTTTTCTAGGATATTTTGAACTAATTTACACCATCAAAAACTCCAACAACAAAAATAATCTCAGAGCATGAAGCTGAAGCACGCCTGGACACAAATTGAATTGCAAAGTAACAATGTTGTTTCCGCACAGGCGGCAGACTCACAGGAATTGGCTACTAGAGAGGTGTGAGGAGACACGGGCCACACAAACAGATCAGCCACACTCGGCCAGAATCCCACTCAGAGCCACAGAGGAGAGAGGCATAGCGGGACAATTGGCACAGGCACAAAGCTGTAACAAGGGTGAGCCCCGGGAGGCGGAGCTCGTGGGCCCCGGGAGAGTGACCACTGGAGATGCGCACAGTCCAGTTACAGGAGACAGAATACTTATCACAGTGGGAGGCAGAGTGTTTATACTACACTGGGATCAGCATCACACATCAATGAAGCAGACACATTATCTACATTCAAGGCAAGGCTGAAACAGTCCTCTTTAACTCAGCATATGGCCCGTGATGTAAGACTCAGTGTTAATGCTGATTCAAGCCACAATTGCCTTGACAAAACCACACAGACAAATATTAGTTTCTTACTTGCACCAAAGGGATAGTGACTGAGATAGAGAATTTTGAATAAAGCAAATCACAGCCTTCTGCTTGTCCGTCTCAGTCACTACTGCCTTCTGCTCCCTCTGTTGGGATCTTTATTCAAAGTTATAATCACACCTCCATACAAGGTAACAATACCCAAAATGCTTCAAGGAAGCCACTCCTTATTTAACAATGTGCTTGTGGTATATAGACTTCAAAAGCCCTTTCCAGGGGGCTAAAAGTCATTTCCCTTTCCTTGCCCTAAATGCCAAATGGTGAGTTGCCTTATTGAAATCTATAGATTAATTTTAAGCACATTCTTATTCATTTAATTGATAATATAACCAACATTTCTATTACACTCAGGTGAGACTTAGAAATACAAACTCAAAGTGGTGGTGTTGAATGTATGTCCTAAATTGGGCGTGGCCACACACCGTACCGGTGCGTAATCACAAATACATATCACTCTGCTCTTTCAAATATGTGAACTGCATGAGGTCCACACTGAACATATGTTTCGGAAGTTAAGTTATTCGACTGTTTATCCGGTATTTCACTCTTTTACTGCCATGGCTGCCCCAACATAAACAAATAGGTATTGCGATGTACCTTCAGGATTTAGGAACACAGTACGAAGCACATGTCGTACTGACCTGATTATAGGCTAACATGTCACCAGGGAAGTGCTTAAAAGACCTCTATTATTGCTACTCTACAACCCTGTGTGATCTGATGAGAGTTCTGACGTTCACAGGAACCATTTACTGTAAATGTCATTCCTTGGTAACCACGCCTTTCACAAGCACTCTAGCCAATCATTGTCAGTTTTAGTTCCAGCTCCACCTACATAGAAACAGGGCCAAGAGGGACTAAAGAAGGACCTGGTGCCGGTTTGACAGGACTGGTCGAAACCCTCCCACTCGGTGTAGGCTAGAGCTGGTGGAAACACAGCTTCACAGTTTAAGTTGTAATATAGAAACTAAAGTAACTTTATTGCAATATTCTAATTATAAAAGTTACACATCATCCCGTACTACTACTTATTTAGAGGTGGGAGAAACCGCAGCATCTGGAGGAAACCTATGCAGATACCTATGTAGGGAGAACATGCAAACTCCACTCAGAAAAGCCCTTTTGTGACCTGGAGTCTAACCCAGGACCTTAGTTCTGAAAAACAACAGTGCTAACCACTCAACGTGCCACTGCACAGTTCAAAGGTATCATCATAAAAACACTGAAACTATGATCTTACCGTGAGCTGTGGCGTGTGTGCGTGCTGGCTGCCCTCACGCCGGTGTACCGCGGCCATGCAGCTGAGCTTACGGCGGCCATCTTGACTCTGCTGGGCTTTGGTGAGGTCTGCTCTGATTGGTAGCTCACTCTGCAGTCTCTGAGCTCTGGCACTGTTCCCACCTATGGACAGAAACATGCAGCAATCACCAGGTTGTACTGAGTGTGACTCTGTGGGGCGGGCATTTGCTCCGGTCACAGGACACAGAGACAGACTCGGACACGGACACAGACTCGGACACAAACACAAACTCGGACAAGCTCTCGGAGAGAGGAAAGGAACTCACCCAGGAACCATAACATTAAATTTGGTTTGTGATGGGATGATTGCCATTTTCATGGTTTGGTAATTGTGGAATTTATCTAAACACTAGGACACCAAGTAGGGGATAACGTACAGTACGCAGGTCATTATCGGAAAATAAGTACCGACAGGGCGAAGCGCGTCGGGGTCCGCTTCCGCCCTGAAGGTACTTATTTTCCGATAATGACCTGCGTACTATACGTTATCCCGCTTATTACACGGCTTTATACCAACAGAACACACAACATAAACTTCAGTCCACTTTTAGGAATGCTGAAAGGTTTATTTAAAATAAGAAAGAAAAGAAAAGGCTATCAACTTCCAAACTAGAACTCTCTGGAACTGCATGAAATCTGAACAAAGAATTCTGAACATCAGCGGTGAGTGACCCAAACATAAACCTAACCTAAATCCATAATTTGATCCTCTGCAAATGTGTCCTAAAATGTGCCGGTATCTACTTCCGGGTTTTTCGGGATTGCCTTTTATCGCATTACATCAGTGTTTTTGTCTTGAAAACGTAAACGGAAAATTCTGAAAACTTCCGTGCACTTGTATTAATAATGTATATGTATAATGTATTCTCCGATTAACATTTAATGGCGTTGATTGATTGGCATTTGCGTTTAATGTGCGTGGCTAGCTCCGGAGTGGCTGGAACTACTTACGGGTTTTTCATGATCGCTTTTTGACGCAGATACATATTATTTTTGTCATGAAGACAAGAGCAGTAAATTCTAAAAATCTCCGTGCACGTGTGTGAAGAATGTATATGTATACAGTATTCTCCGATTAACATTTCATTGCGTTGATTTATTGGTATTTGCGTTTATTGAGCGTGGCTAGCTCCGGAGTGGCCGGAACTACTTGCGGAGTTATCCACGCATCTGAAATACAAGCAGAGAGTGCGTTGCCATGAGCAGCGGTCATTATTGTTTTGAGAGGTCCGTTATAGAAAATAATGACCGGTAGAACGTTTTGAAATTACATTCAAATCAATGGAGCATTCTACTGCTGCTGTGTGGTATAACCAACACTATGTTACACAAACATGCACACGTATAGATACATACATATTAGAAGTGCATCGATCGATCGGTAGCCGATTATAATCGGCCAATCACGGCTTAATTTGCGTGATCGGTGATCGGTGAAATGGGCCGATCACAAAGACCGATCAGATGACATGAGGATTCATGCGCATAAGTTACGTTCTCTCGTCAAAACTGCGTAAACAAGCAACTCATGCAGCTATCAGTAACGGAGATTCTACAGCGACAACAACCACACTGTAATGGCGTAAGAAAGAACATTAAATATGCACGAAATTTATGGAATTTATTCCCCTCTGCCACCAGCGCTCGTCTGTTTCGGAAAGCACTGGGTTCAAACAGCTCATGTCCACTGCTTCAATATGCCATCGCGGAGATATCTGACTGATGTGTGCCTGTCGCAGCTTTACCAAACTGCATGTTATGTTCTCAGAAATATTGAATTAAGATGAGTGTAGTGGTAGTACAGACAGTCCTACAGTGTCGCAGATTTAGCGTTACTTACTACATAGTTGCGCATCGGAGCAGACAGCCGCTTGTTTATTGGAAGGAAAATTAAAGGCGCTTATTTTTGAGTCCTTTGCTTTTTACTTTGTACACTCACGATTGTGTGTCCTCCTCTGACTCAAACTTGATCATTAAATATGCATCGGTCTCATCAGTAACAATGATGAATCCTCTTATAGAGCAGAGATACAAAATGTGGCTCAGTGGAGTAAAACTAACAACCTCCAGTTGAACGCATCGAAAACATGTGAACTGGTCTACGACTTCAGTCGCAATAGTTCTCATTTGCCTGTCGTATCGACAACTCCCAGGTGCAGATCGTAGAGGAGTGCAAGTTTCTGGGTTTAACTCTGTCTAACGACCTGAAATGGGTTAAAAACACTGACCGAGTCGTTAAGAAAGCTCGTCAGCGTCTCTACTTTCTGCGTAAACGTAGAGAATTTACCACTAACTCTAAGATTCTGCTTAACTTTTATCGCTGCACCATTGAGAGTTTACTTGTTGGTTCTGTGTCTGTGTGGTTTGGAAACATCACAGATAAAGAAAAGAGAGCTTTAAACAAGGTGCTCCGCTCTGCAAAGAGGACCGTGGGCTGTGAGCTTCCTGTTCTGGAGGTTCTTTATAAATCCAGACTTTTAAACAAAGCTCTTAGGATTGTTAATGACTCTTCTGACCACCCTGGAAAAGCCATGTTCCAGCTTCTTCCCTCTGGCAGAAGATATCGCTCTCTGAGAGGCACAACATCTCGTTACGTTAACAGTTTTTATCCACAAGCTGTTATCAGTGTGAACAGAGCACTTTAATGATTTGCACTTGTTTTGAAACTGTTTTAGTCGATCGATTTCACAGTGACATTTGTCTGTTTTATTTGTTTTATTTCCGTACTTTTAATGTCGTTTTATGTCTATATTTGTCTGTGCACACTGGAGACTTTTTGCTAATGTATTCCAATGTGATTTTTTTACTGCAAATGGCTAATAAACTGAATCTGAATCTGAATCTTCCCTGTATTGGCCAAAGCAGTGTCTTTCCTCTGCGCTCCATGCACAAGTGTAGACAGTGAGAGTTTAGCGTAGCGGGACTATTCAGGATGATAAACGTATTAAACTAACCTCTGCAAATGCTGAGATGCTAATATTACTGAAGAACAAACATTGCCTTAACTATCTCTTCTTAATCAGTTTAGAAATGCAGCATGTACAGTATTGCTGTATTTCATTTCATTTTTTTAATGTATCTCAATGCTCCTTTTGTCTCGAGTACCCCTAGGGCATTTTATTTATACTACCTAGTACCTTGATGGTTTTGAAAGATTAGTTAAAAAGTGAATAACTAGTCCTATTCATTTATCACTAATATTTTCAATAATTGATCGGATCGGCAATGATCTGTATTGTCAGGTCAAAATTTTTATGATTGGTGATCGGCCAAAAAAATCCTGATCGGTGCACCTCTAATAAATACACAGATACAGAAACACACACACACACTTACTCATTCACACAGAGACACACACACAATGTATCAAGAACCAGTCTTGGTGAACTCTCGCTCTTGTTCCCTCTCATGTATTTTGCCTTGTGAACACTGGAGTTTCATCAAAAGTCTTTTGTCCTCACAGACTGCAGGTTGATTTACTGGACGTATGTATAAACACTCACACACAACAGAATGTGTAGAAGCAGAAGTATAGGCAGTGGGAGTGGGGAGACGACAGCTGCTCCGCTCCTCATGTACTTTGATTTGCCCGAGGCAGTCCCACATTCCTCTGCGCTCGTCAAAGTGATGCCCACAGCATTTTACCTCCTGCACCTGTACAGCTGCACATGACAGCAGTTGCCCATAGGGACCAGTCCCACTTCTGCATCTGTACAGCTGCCAACAAGGACCAGTCCCAGCCCGGCACAGCTGTATATGACAGAGGCTTCCCACAGGGACCTGCCCTGCATCTGTACGGCTGTACACAGGGACCAACCCCAACCCTGCAACTATACAGCTGCACATTCAGTTCAATTCAATGTATTCATGCATCGCCCTAAATCACAACAGCAGTAATCTCAGATTACTTTACACAGTTCACCAACAACAGATTAGAGAATCAGGCAAATCAAACACACAAAATGCAATGATAACAATCACGTAGAAGCTATTGGTCCATAGGGAGCGGGATGACCACGGTCCAGAAATGTCCATATATAGTACAGACCCTAAAGTTTCAATTAGTGTCCTTTCTTTTCAGGACTATTGACTGTAGATTCACACCCAGGCTGTGTAAGGGCTATTTGACCAATAAGGAGAGAGAAGGGTGCTGGGCCAGATAACCTGGCCTCCACAGTCGCCAGACCTGAACCCAATCGAGATGGTTTTGGGGTGAGCTGGACCACAGAGTGAATGTGAAAGGGCCAACAAGTGCAAAGCATCTGGGAGCTCCTTCAAAACTGTTGGAAGAGCATTTCAGGTCCTCTTGAAGCTCATCAAGAGAATACCAAGAGGGTGCAAAGTAGTAATCAAAGCAAAAGGTGCTACTTTGAAGAACCTAGAATAGAAGACATATTTTCAGTTGCTTCACACTTTTTTTAGTATGTACATCATTCAACATGAGTTAATTCCTAGTTTTGATGCCTTCAGTGTGAATCTACAATTTTCATTATCATGAAAATAAAAACTCTTTGAATGAGAAGGTGTGTCCAAACATTTGGTCTGTATTGTATTTCCCCTATCATCACTGGGGGGCGACAGTAGCTCAGTTGGTAGAGCATTGGCCTTAAGGCCTGAAGGTCGTGGGTTCAATTCCCACCTCTCCACCGACTCCCGCAAGACACTTAACCCCACTTTGCCCAAAAAGCCCCCACTGAAAGATCAAGGTTATGCTCACACAGCAGCTGTCCTCCTGTGGACTCACCACCTGCAGAGGGTCAGTGAGGGGCTGGTGCTATGAGATTTGACCCAGAAATGGATTAAAGGGTAGAAAATGGATGGATGTTCGTAGACCCGCCTTCATCGGCAAGGAACCACTTAAAACCTTGGGAAGGTACACATTGAGATATGAATCCGCTATCATGGACGGATGGGCTATAGATCCAGGACTGAGGCTGTAAATCCAGGACTGAAGGGCTCGACACACGGGAGGCGACATCGAATCGCCTCCATTCATTTTCAATGGGACGTGCGCGACATAGCGTCAATCGCTAGCGAGCCTCCTGCTCAGCGACGGGCGAAAAACGTGCGTGTGAAATCCTCCCGCTCGTGCATGTATCGTGCACGTGCAGGTCAGCGACGCGATCCCAGAAAGTTGAAATTGGCTCAACTTTTTGACGCTGTCATCAAGCCGCATCGCGCCCCGTCTGTCATGTTATCTGAGCGACAGCGTTGAGTTTCGCTGATCGCTCTCATTTGTCGCCTCCCGTGTGTCGAGCCCTTGAGGCTGTTAAAACGAGGACTCAGGCTGTGCACAATGGGAGCAGGTCCTGGCTTAAAAACGTCCATGAGCACGTGCGCTGACATACTTGCAATCCCACTTCAGGCCGATGGGGATGGACCCAGAAAGAAAATTATCCAACGCTTTCATATGGCATCCTCTTTTCTCTCAAAATACGGCTGTATGGTCCAAAAGTCGGCTCTAGGCCCAAAGCTACATTCCAGATGCGTGTCAATGCTGAGGGGAGTATTTTTTTGAACCACTCTAGTTTAGCCACTGTGGACTTCAGAAGGTACTCGTTAAATGAATGGGGCTGGTTCCTTCTAACGCATGCGCAAATGCGTTTTTTCACCTTTTCCTGCGAGAGGGGCTGCCCTACGTCCGTTAATATTTACAGTCTATAGGTTGTGCAGTGCAGGACTGAAGAGGCTCACAGGTGGAGAGGGGGGTGTAGCACATGACAAAGACCGCCCGCAGCAACCAGACCCAGCTTTTATCTCCACCACAGATCAACAACTCACCAGAATGGACCATGTGACTGCAGCTCTAATGAATCATGTTTGCATCAGTTCATTCTCAAGCCTGTATGAATCTCTCCATTTGAGAAGCTTTAAACCTTTAGCTTTATTAAGTGGAGAGGAAAGTAAAGACATACAGAAAGTAGAAATGTTAATGTTTTGGCCACAGAATTTTCTGCCACAGGTGAACGGTGTCAGTTATGATTATTTTAGTTATAATAAGCCTACATATTGTCCAATATTTATGTCATCATATACATATATATGCATAAAACTGAGGTATTTTATCTTTAATCTTTTCAATGGACTGTGCTATACAAATAAACTTGCCTTGCCTCACATACTGTATGTAATTTCATTGCGCTCGAGCCGTTTTCATCCCCAGCGCCGGTTACACAGACAGCTGCCGATGCGGATCAAGACAGAAGCCGTTTAAGCATTCTCAACTCTGCAGAGTCCTGATTTTTCGCAGCCCAAGAGTGAAACCCCACATGAGTCAAATGCAAAAGGTTTCCAAGCTGCAAAAGATGGAAAACTACAACAAATCCACTCAACGCGAGCTCCTTTGCACACGTCCTCAGAGGATATTTGCAGAACACAAAAGATTACGGAAAGAGAATGTAATGGATCACCTGACCAAAGTCCTAGTCCCAGTCCGCCTCTGACCATGGTCCCAGTCCCTGAAGTGGTCTGTTACTTTGTTGTGGTCAGTAACATATCAAAAACATAATATTTACGTTTGTATGCGTGTGAAAGTCCAATCCTGTCAGACCTCTGAAGCTAAGCAAGGCAGGGTCTGGTTAGTACTGTAATTGGAGACCTCTGGGAACAACAAGTGCCACCGTGGGGCGGCTAAGGTTGTAAAGTATCAAACTGTTGTTGTTTCCCAAGACACTTTATCCACTTTGCCTAGAATTAGTCTTGTGTGTGTGTGCATGGTTGGTGGTGGTCATAAGAGCCAATGGCACATACTGGTTGCCTCGCTTCAGTCAGTGTGCCCCAGGGCGACTGTGGCCACAGTAGTAGTTTATCACCACCGTGTATGGAGTGAATGAATAATAACATGTGAAGCATCTTTGAGTGTCCAAAAAAGCGATACATAAAAGCAATGCATCATTAAAGGTACAAGCTGTAGAAACACTTTCGCAAGTTACAGCAGCTCACACATTCAAGCGCACACATACATAGATTCGCACACATGCACATACATACACACACATATCATCATGAGCCATTACTCCCTCGCTGGAGTATAGCACACACTCTAAGTGACTGCGCTAAAGGGCGGCTTCAGAGACCGCTGATGATTCGTCTAATTGAGAGAGAAATTAGCCAACACTCTGGACGGCCAATTAGGCTGAAAACGGTTCAGCGGTGAAGCCACATGAAATCAGGTCTGAGCCGTATCAGAGTAGGAGTCAGCAGAGAACACAGGACTCTCTCTGGCATCTCTCTCAGGTCTCTCGTATGGATTATTCAGGAATGATACAACATTGTACAAAATCCTTCTTATTAGACTGAATATTAATATTTTACAATCTCCAACCAGTGGTGGATGAACAAAGTACAAATAACAGAAGGTTAATCTTGTCTCCATTCATGATTGGCTGGGTTGACTGCGACCAGTTGATGTGTGTGATTGGTAAAGACGAACCACTCAAAGTATCTTCTTCACATTGGATTTTGTAAAGGAGACATATTCTGCTAAATCAACTTTTTACACACACACAGACCGTGGCACTCACCCCGCGCACACACACTCCCTCCTCTGAAGCCGCCGCTCACCTCGCCGGGCATCACCACGTGGGATGGGGGCGTGGCTAGTGGTGTCTGCTGGTCAGGAGGCGTGGGGCAACCTGCACACACACCAATGGACTACAAAGTCAGAAGAAGCAGCAACAAAAACTGCACATAGAGATACATTATAAACGTTCCAGTGTCGTGCCATACACAATTTTCAGGTGTCTCATTTGCCCATTTCCATATAATCTCCCAAACACAAGATAAGAGGACCTTGATATGTGCCTCAGAGGTGCAATGTCGGTGTTGCAGTGTCATTACAGGACTGTGGACAGAGCACACAACATCTACAGATAAATAACTGTAAATGCTTAATAATACTATATCTATAAATATGTAATATGTCTATATATGATTAATTCATTTGCCATTATAAAGTGCCATTTTAAAAATATTTGAAAGGTTTATAATTTTTCCTCCACCAAGAATTATGAAAAGCCAGTGGACATTCTGAAAGTTCAATATTTATGTTTTACTTTTATTTTATTTGACGGGGACATTAATAAACATTTCTGTAAATGCACAAAAATTAGCCAAGTAAGCCATTTTTCATCTGCAGTCCCCAGACAGGTGTATAGTCTCCCTAAAGATGATAACATTAAAAAGTCAAACAGTAATAAAATGCAGTAACACACAGAATACAGGGGAGAGCAAGAAAAACATACAACACACCATAAAACACAGTTTGCATACAACAAGAGATATTTACAAAGAAATCAGAACACTAGCAGCTGTTCCGACAGGCAAAGACCTAGACTAATGTTCACACGTCTGTTGTGTTATTAACCAGTTCTTCATATGCATTTTGTAAAGTGAGTATGTTGTAAATTCTCATATGTTTACTGGAATAGAGTTCCAGTCTCTGGCAGCAGTTACTGAGAAGGTACTCCTCCTCTGGTCACTCTCTGACCTCTCTCTGGTCTCTCTCTGGTCTCTCTCTGGCCTCTCTCTGGCCTCTCTCTGGCCAAAAAAACAAGTGCATTAAAAAAATTGAAGATACAATCCATCAGTTGTTGCAGGAAAACAGGACTGTTTTTAAACTAGATTCAAGTACCTGGGTGTTCACATTAACAATAGACTGGTCCCATAACACTAACGCTCTGCACAAGAAGGGCCAAAGTCGCCTCTTCCTTCTGAGGAGGTTGAGGTCCTTCGGAGTGAGCAGGCCTCTGCTCAGGACTTTTTATGACTCTGTGGTAGCCTCTGCCATACACTATGTTGCCGTGTGCTGGGCCCCGGGCAGCACAGAGCGGGACAGGAGTAGACTGAACAAGCTGGTCAGGAGGGCCAGCTCCACTCTGGGCTGCTCCCTGGACTCTGTGGAGGAGGTGAGGGACAGGAGGGTGCTAGCCAAAGCCACCTCCATCATGAACAACACCTCCCACCCACTGCACAGGACTGTAGAGGAGCTGAGGAGCTCCTTCAGTGGAAGACTGAGACACCCTCAGTGCAAGAAGGAGCGCTACCGCAGGGCCTTTATCCCCACCGCTGTCAGACTGTACAACAAGTCACTTTAAGTCACTGCATTAAGACTGATAAAACCTGCACTACACTTTGTACATAATATGTCCGGTCCTGTTTGCACATTTCTGCACAATCTGAGTGTCTCTATCCGTGCCAAACGTGACATGTAAATTTCTCCTGTGTGAGATTAATAAAGTACATCTTATCTTATCTTATCTTTGACCATTGTCAGATCAGAAGCCTGTCTCACACTTTAAGGAAGACCAGATTCTAGCTTCATCAATATGAAATGCTGACTCCCCATGATCAGTCCTGACTCTGGGCGCCAGCAGCTCTCTGACTCCCTGTGCTCCTCAGGGTCCCAGCAGGAGGCCAGTCCCTGTGCTACAGGACATCAGAAACAACTCGTCCTACAGACCTGTTATTCAGAGCTCCACTTTTACCTAGTGGGTCTGTTTGAGGACCAGCTGCCCCGCTCACCAGAAGAATGCTTTACACTCCATAACATGGTGCATAAGCTGCTGTCAGCTTCTACAATGAACACTGTTTATGAGACGCATTACACTTAGGGTACATGTTTTAATAACATTTCCTATGAAGGTTCATCCATTTCATTTCATTTCATTTACATCCCTTTATTTTCCAATTCTGGGTCAGGGGGGTGGCACCCAATTCACACAGCACCAGTCCCTTGCTGATCTTCCTGCAGGTGGTGGGTCCACGGGAAGATGGCTGCTCCTTCGACACAGATGCAGCCTTGGTCTTTCAGCGGGGACTTCAGGCACATTGGGGTTAAGTATCTGTGCCCAGGGACACAACGACAGCAGACATCAGTGGGAGCAGGTGACATGGGTCGTAATGGGATCGAACCCACAACCATTAGGTCCAAAGACCATTGCTCTACCAACTGAGCTACTGTCGCCCCTATGAGGTTCATCCTCATATGGCTATTGTCTCATATCAAATGTGAATGTTCTGATTTGCCAAAGGGTTGAGTGACTGCAAGTGAACACACATTTTGATGAAAACAGAGTACCAGCTTCAGTATTATGGCTACCATGAACGCAGCGCCCCCTGCAGGCTGTGGCAGACTGAGGATCTAATGTGTTTGCTGCTGTTGGCATAGTGTCACTGACGGCAGCAGTACAGCAGCTGTCAGCCTGCCGCCTGGAGTGCGTGTGGCTGTTTGTGTGTGTGTCGGTGCGAGAGAGTGTATGTATGTGTGTGTTAATGTGTGAGTGTGTGTCTGTGAGCTCCTCTCAAAGTGACAGAGATATTAAAGTTAAGTTAAGTTACACATTATTTGTCCCTGTAGGAGAGTGTCCTCTGCATCCAGGGCTGTAGGGTCACATTCAGTACATGATCTCCAGTGGTAACCAGAAAATGTTGTGGTTCTTGCAGGTCAGGCTCAAAAAGTGTTGTGCTTGTCATGTTGTTTATTTTTTCTCTAGTGTATGTCAAAATCTAGGGACAAGTTCCGTGAATTAGCTTTGGCTATGAAGACGATGATGCATGCATCAGACTACTGCACGACGGTTTGTCTTTTTCCTTTTTTTCTTTGTCTGTCCCTATTCAAAGAAACCAAATCAATCAATCAATGTCATTGATGTAGGCTGAAGACTGTACAATCCACAGCACTTTATATTGAAGGGGGTCAGGGGTTAGAATCTCTGTGGCTTTGAGTATTCAATTTAATGTATTTGTGTATAGCCCACCACGAGACCTTCTCCACCGACTCCCACTGATGTCTGCTGTCCTTAGGCAAGACACTTAACCACACTTTGCCTGAAGCCCCTGCTGAAAGATCAAGGCTCTCATCTACAGAGCAGCCGTTCTCCTGTGGACTCACCACCGGCAGGAGGATCAGTGAGGGGCTGGTGCTATGTGAACTGGGAAGCATCTCTGGCCACCCCCCCGACCCAGAAATGGATTAAGGGGTTGAAAATGGATTGATGGATGGATACAAATATATAGCCCTTAAATATTTTACTAGCAATTGATTTGTTTCAATAGGAGTACTTTAAATTAAATAAAGAGTCTGATTAAATGTTGATTTATTTTAATTAAATTTGTAATTTTGTCCAAGACAATACGAGATTACAGCAGCGTCAATCAAAATCAAGTTTTGTGGCTTACATCAAGCGCAGCGACAAAACTTGTCCTGCTGTTGTTTGCTAAAGCTAAAGGTTTTGGAGGCTACAAACAAATAATACCTGCTTTAAAATGAAACAAAAAAACCCAGAGGGGGAGAAAAGTCACATGTGCCAGAGGTAAGGCCGGTTGATGGTGCAAAGACTGCGGTGGAGGGAACATTTGAGAAAGCAGTGGAGAACAGTGAGGGCGAGCTGCAAGAAATGCCCTAAACCTCTGCTAAAGGGGGAGCCCTTTACCTCTGCTGGGGGGGAAATTCAAGGAAATGTTCCTTGAAATAATATTCCTCAAAAACAGATCAGAGAATCAAACGGTTCTAACACAAGAAATGTCATAAAAACAAACACATAGGAGCCATTGGTCCATGGGGAGTGGGATGTCCTTAAATGCCCCAGATCATCCCTGTCCTTAGACAGACCTCCTGCATCTGCAAGGAACCAGTCAAAAGCCTTGTGGGGAAAAAGAGGAAAGAAACTTCGAGAAGGGATCTGCTCCCACGGACAAACAGGCTGTAGATTTAGGACTGAGGTTGTAAATCCAGGACTGAGGCTGGAGAACAAGGACTGCAAGGGTCTGTCTGCAGTGTTTTGGCTTTATCTGCACCTGTGAACTGGTATCCAACCAACCCAGACTCATGGGCTGCACCCCCTTCCCCACCTGGAGGCCTCTTCAGTCCTGCACTGCACAGCCTCAGTCCTGGATCTACAGCCTGTCTATCTGTGGGAGCACTTTTTCCCAATGGGTTTTTGAGTGGTTCCTTATCGCTGCAGGAGGCTCTAAGGACAGTGATGATCAGGGACATTTCTGCACATTTCTGGACAGTGTTCATCCTGCTCCCTGTGGACCCATGGCTTCTATACGATTGTTACCATTGCATTTCCTTTGTTTGAACTGTAGGATTTTAAGATAAGATAGACTTTATTGATCTCACACAGGAGAAATTTACATGTCACATCTGGCATGGATAGAATCGATAGAAGATTGTGCAAAAGAAAGAAATGTGCAAACATGTTAAATGCAGGATATATAATGTATAATAAAAAGTGGCAATTCAAAAGTGGCAATCAAGAAACAGTGTCAATAGTGCAGGTTATTCAGTCCTAATGCAAGTGACTTATTGTACAGTCTGACAGCAGTGGGGATAAAAGGTTTGACTGTGGCGGAGTGGTGAGTGGTGGACTTGGGTAGTGAAGCTCCCACTATAGAAATACTGTACATATCCTGCGGGCACTGCACTAGAATTTTAAAATAAACACACATTTCACATTCTAAAAACTATTGAATGAAACAAGAAGCAAAAAGTGTAGCCACTTTTGGGCCCAAAACACTACATTCCAAAGTTCAGTGCACATTCTCACAGACGTGTCCAAGGCTCAAAATCTTGAATATCCTTTAATTGTGGTTTTATGCAGCTCACCAGCCCAGTGTTTAGGACACCGCT